ATTCCCAGTTGAGTTCCCCAGTTCTTTTGTTTTTGGCTTCCTTTTTGTTTTGTCTTGTAAATGAATTATTATTGAAAGGTTTCTATGATTCTATCATTTGCACGGAGACATAGCTAGCTGACTGTCTTAAACTGTATTTTTATATGTGGGCATGGAAACAGGCTCGCATGTAAAGGATGCAACTATTTTCATGTTTGTGCTGTGTGTTAAGCTCTACTGCATATGGACAAAAATGTTGATTTTTTTGTTTTTTGTTTTTGTTCAATGAGAGCACGGAAAATTTTATTTATTTAGAATGTATGAAATGGTGTGAAAGGAAAGAGAATTATGAGAAAATGACGTGATGAAAGTAAGAGGAGATGTTACGTACATTTGGGGGTGGGGTCTGGATATGATTCATAGGTTAAAAGGAGAAATGAGGATTTTGCAGTTTGCATTTGACCCATGACCTTCGTTACTAATCAAGAAAAGCCATTTAATTGGATCTCAACTCCATCTATGGAATATTTCGTATAACTCGCAATGTAGGTTACGTTTGCAAAAATTTAGGTTCTTTTAAAAATTGTAAGTTAAATGAACTGAGTCTCCTGGCCATCAGGTGTTCACAAAACTATTTAAAACTAAATTTTTTAAATAATTAAACTAAACTAAACTAAAATAAACTAAATTATTTTTTAATAGTTTAAACTAAACTATTACTTTTAGTGTAGTTTATAAAGCTAAACCATTAAAATTAATAGTTCAGTTCACTAAAATCAAATACAAGCACTGATTCACGGAGACTACCACGTTCGTCGTACGGACTCGTGGAAACGTAAGGTGTCTGTTCGGATTGAAGCACTGAAGTACATTCACGGAAACCAAATGTCATGGTAGCCAGTTAATATTAGAGCTGTCAAAATGGGCTCAACCCGGTGAGCCAACCCGGCCCACCACGGGTTCGAGCCGGGTTGGGCTAAATTTTTTTTGCAAATTTCAGTGTGGGCCAATTTTAAACCCGGCCCACTAACAACCCGGCTCACCCGGGTTCAACCCGTGGTGAGCCGGGCTGACCCACCAGCCCATAAAAAAAAAAAAAAATTTTCTGCTATTGGGTTGGGCCAAATAAAACTTCATAGACCATCATAGGTTCTCAATTTTATGTATTTTTTCTTCAAATTATGTAATTAGTGTAGGAATTTATTTACTTTTCTCTAGAAAAGCTTATGTGCATACTATTTTTGCAGGATTAGGCATTAAATTTGATTACATTTTTTTAAATTAGGTGATTTTTTCAAATTAGGTGAGCCAACCCGTTTAGCCCACCAACCCGTGGTGGGCCGGGC